TAAAAGAGTGCGGCTTGAAATCAAAAAGTTTCAAAGTTTACTGTACCCCTGGGTTTTCAAGGAGTCCTAAAGGCTTCACTAACAGAATTTCTTCTACCAAAATTTATACGCAAAAGCAAGTGCCGCCTGCATTTTCCTCCTTTGCGTCTATGCTTCTGGCTTGCATGTTAGATATAGAGGGGAGTCCCGATGCAGCCGTTGATCTCTCTAAAAACAACCAAGACCCCTCTTGAACTATAGTCTACAAAACTTCGTCAACGGTAATGAAAATACCACCAGAATTATACTTCACTTCGTGCAGAGCGCCACCTGCTTGCGAAAATATATCACTTCACCCTTTACAAATCCAGTTTTTAGCTTCTGGCTTGCATGCCAAACGTAGCAAGGAGTCCACTTGACTTCACTACAAATCGGCCTGTAGCTACATGACTCTCCAGTAAACTTTTTCTACTTTTCTTTTCTGTGAGGAGAGTGGTCCAAGTGATTGTCGGGGAGAGTTCTTGTACAGAGAGATATATTAGTATTATATAGAGGAGAGACTCTATTACTTAGTATTATATAATTTTTTTAGGCTATTGTAGCCAAAACTACATACTGTCACTTTATTTGTTTTTTTTTTTTGTTTATTTGTTTTGTTTTGTTTGTTTTTTCGGTTCATTTATATGTCAAAACTACTCAGTCTTCTTTTTGCTTTTTTTATCTCTTTCCCTTTACATTCAGATATTGTTTAGAATTTCGTTTATTTTTTCTTCTTTTTCTCTTTTTGTATTTACTTTTTTTTTTTCTTCTAAATTTTTTTTCTTCTGTTGTAAATTTGGCAATTTGTCTTCCTTTATGTAAATGTAAGAGAATTAACTAATCTGCCTGAATCTAAATAGAAAAAGTTTAAAGGAAGATAGATAGTCTTGACGGGCTGTAGATCCCAGCCAGTAATCTGTGGATTCAAAATCTGAGGTAGATTGCGAAGAAGCAAGAAGACTGCTTCTACTTTGGCATGTCGTACATAGGTACCATTGAGGCAACTAGATGAGTCATACTTTAGTATAAAACAGCATAGCTATATATAGAGATTAGGTTGTTGAATCTTCTATAATAAATAATAAAGTTGTAATAAGACTGCTTAAAAAAAAAAAAAAAATTTGTTAAATTTTTTAATAATATTTATAATATTTTTATAAAAGTTAACTAATTTTATTTATATTGAATAGGTTCACAGTCAGTTATTGCTTCAAATTTATTAAGAGGCAATTCAAAAAATACTAAAACCATAATTCCTTTTAAATTTACTAATTTAATTTGAATATTTGGTTTAAATAATGCTCAAAAATTTATTAATAACAAATTAAATGATTGTAGACCAGATTCTAATATACATTATGAGTTTAAATATTTATTATATTATTTAGATAAATATTTTAGTTCAACAAATATGGACAGTTATATAATTAAAATATATAGCTCTGTAACTTTAGAAAATAGGTCTATAATTAAAGCAATAGAAGATTTTTATAGCAAAGCCTGGTATAGTAATATAGCAGTTGTTATGAATTTTAAAGAACAATTGAAATATTTGACAAATGAAAGAATTTGCTATAGACAGATATTTGTTGTATTTTTATTTTTTTTAAAAATTTTTAAAATATTAAATATTGAATTTTTAATTTTAGATATATGAAATCAGATGATGCTGAATTCACATGATCACATGATGATCTCCACTATTATATAGTAAAAATAAAAAATATATTATAACTAGATTTAGTGTTTAGTAAATCTACTTTCATATACTAACAAAAGTTGTTCTTTAGATAAAGACAATTCTAATGATAGTAAAATTATCAAAAACGACTCACTAGATCATCTGCAATAGTTCTTCAAAGTTCAAATCGCTGTTTTAAACTTGCAAATAATATAAACAAATATAAACAAATATTTTAAAACTTTGAAAAACTATTGCAGATAATCTAGAGGGTTATTTTTGGTAATTTTATTATCATTAGAATCGTCTCAATCTAAAGAACAACTTTTGTTAGAATATGAAAGAGTTTATATAACACTAAATCTAGTTTAAAAGTATTTTTTAATTTTTACTATATAATAGCAGAGATCATCATATGATCACATAAATTTCAGCATCATCCACAACATTTATTACTCAAAGTTGAAAATACCAAAGGAGATTTGCATAATCTCACATTTATCCAGTGGTATGATTTTATGTCTAAAAAGGACCATATTATTGTAGATGCTCTAGACTTAAATTAATTTAATTAAATAATATTGTAAATATTGAAGCAATTAATAATAATATTCATATAATTTCATGCTTTGATAAATCAAACGAATATTTAGTTAATAAGTTTTTTTTTTTTTTTGGTATTAAGGTGACCTACATTGGCCTGAGAAACTTTTTATTAAAGCATAGACAGAGTTTTATATGTAATTACAATAATAGTACATCAAGCCACATGTGTACCTTTTGAGTGCCTAATTTAAGTAGCCCGCCCGAAGGTTCTACACTATCTGCCATATCTGCACCCCAACTAGGGGGGTACCCATTTAAACCATCTGGTTTTAACTACCTCCATCTGCCCCCTAACCTAATGGGTTTACCTTACCATTTATATGCTGGATTTTGGATATTACCCAATTTAGATTTTGCTCCCTGCCTTAGAACTTACTAACTATATAAACCTAGTCTATCCTCGAGGTAAACCTAACATAACAGTACATGTTTCACACATGTATTTACATACTTGTTCCTATAACTTCTTCCTAATTAGTACATATTGACCAGCTGTTCCATATTTGTATTTCATGCCACCTTTTGGGGTGCTGCCGTTCTACAGACATTTCTCAAGTACCAACCTTCTTAACTAGGCATCCATTACATACTTCTTGCCCTTGTTTTGGTTTCTAGCAACCCAGTACCCCATATTTAGACTATCTTCTTACCTGGATTCTTTATTAGTCCTTCCCTTACTTCCAGCCAGTAACCTAAAAGAGTCGGTCTGCCCAGGTTTTAGGTGTCTGAAAGACGCCCTCCTCTTGGTCCATACTTTCAAAGCATATGTCCTTTTCCTCTAGTGCAACAACCTGGTGATTCAGCTAGTATGTCTTTTGCCATTAGGATCTGGTTGCTTGGTTCTTTGATCTCGGGCCCTAGTTCAAATTTAGTCCTCTTGTAGTACCATCATAGATTACTACTACCTCCAAACTCAGAACTTGCCAACTGGGTTTTTGGTTATTTCAGTTCTCTGGATTTATTGCACTGAAGCTTTCATTACTAGATGGTGTAACCAAGGTTACAGATTAATCTAGATCCAATCAATAGAATGCTATTAACCGTACACAGGCCTATTTTTCAAAATTGTCACTAGTGGGATTTGAACTCTAGACCTGCCACTTGGAGAAGGTGACAACTAGACCACTATACTAAATCACCACACCTCTATTTAGTTAATAAGTTTATATTTTAAAAATAGGACGTTATTTTATAGCGACCTGTCGCCATGGCGACCCTATGATCGACCAATCAAAATCGATTACGTGAATCATGTGTTCGCCGATTTGCAATGAAGCAAATCGGCAAACCCATAACTCATAGGACCGATTTTGATGGATCGATCAAATGTCGTATAACAAATGAATAACAAATCAATAAAAAAAGGCAAATATATCTATTAACAACTCTGAAATTTTTATTAAAAAAAAAGCGAATCTATTAGGCAACCCTGAAATATTATACAAATATTTTATCAAATCAGTATTACTGCATTATGATATCATAAACCCAATGAACCTATTAAAAAAAAAAAAAAATTAAAGAACATTTGTATTTGCACAGTGCTTCTATACACATTCACCCAGTACTTTTATACACATTCGTCTGGCACTTCCATATACGAATCTCTTAAAAAAAAAAAAAATTTAATACATGATCCAATAAAATCAGGAACATCTAAAAAAACTCAAAGAATATTTGTGTTTATATTACCTTTGCCCAGTGCATTCCAGTACTTCCATATACATTTGTCCAGTGCTTCATACACAAATCTATTTAAAAAAAAAAAATTTAATACACAATCTAATAAAATCGGTAACGTCTAAACTCAAGTTTATATTATGTTTGCCTAGTGCTTCTATACACGTTGCTTCCATACACGTCCACCTGGTGCTTTCATACACGATTCTATTAAAAAAAAAATAATAATCCACAGTAACATCTAAAAACTCAAAAAACATTCGTGTTTGCACAGTACTTATATTATATTTGCCCAGTGCTTATATTATATTTGCCCAGTGCTTCCATATACATTCGCCCAATACTTCCATACATGCTTGTCTGGTGCTTCTATACACAAATCTATTAAAAAAAAAAAAAAATTTTAATACACAATCCAATAAAATCGGTAACATCTAAAAAACTCAAAGAATATTTGTGTTTGCACAGTGCTTATATTACGTTTGCCCAATGTGTCCCAGTACTTCTATATATATTCGTCCGGTGCTTCTATATATGAATATATTAAAAAAAAAAAAAAATTTAATACACGATTCAATAAAATCGATAACATCTAAAAACTCAAAGAACAGTCATGTTTGCACAGTGCTTATATTATATTTGCCTAGTGCTTCCATACACGTTTGCCCGGTGCTTTCATATATATTCACCTGGTGCTTCTATATACATTCACACAGTGCTTCTATATAGATTCACAAACCCAATGAATCTATTAAAAAAAAAAATTAATACATGAGCCAATAAAATCAGTGATGTCTAAAGACTCAAAAAACATTTGGTTTTGCACAGTGCTTATATTACGTTCATCCAGTACTTTTATACACGTCTATTTGGTACTTCCATACACATTTACCCAGTGTTTCTATACATGTTTGCTCAGTGCTGATATTCACAAATCCAACGAATTTATTAAAAAAAAAAATTAATACATGATTTAATGAAATTAGTGATGTTTAAAGACTAAAAAAATGTTTGTGTTTGCACAGTGCTTACATTATATTAGCTCAGTACTTTCATATATATCCACTCAGTTCTTTCATATACATCTGCCCAGTGCTTCTATACATGTTCGCTCAGTGCTTCCATACACATTCTACTATATGTTTGCTTGGTGCTTCTATATATATTCGCCTGGTGCTTATTCTATCTACAAGTTCGTCTGGTACTTATTCCAATTTAAGCAAAACCTAAAGAAAGAGAAGCAAGTAGAAGTTAATAAACATAACAATAACAAACAACTTAATTTCATTCATTTTCGCTTGGTACTTATTTACCTCTGATATATATACACAAAAAAAAAAGATCGAACAAGAAACTTAATCTTATTTCTGGCAAAATTTAAAGAAAAAAAAGAAGTTAGTGAACAAGACAATGACATGCAAACAAAGAAGAAAGAACAAAAAAACTTAATTTTACCTACATTCGCCTCAGTGCTTACTTATTTCACTTCCGGTAAACCTAAAGAAAAAGAGCCCAAAAATTAGTGAACAAGACAAAAAAAAAAAAAACAAAAGATATATTATTACCTACATATTCTTAGTGCTTCAACAAAACCTGAAAAGAAATTCTTGCTATTGTAAACAAAAAAAAAAAAAAGATCTAATCTAGTACTAAATCAAAGATCGAAATAAAATGGTGCATTCTTACATGATTGACCAATCTTCAACGTGATTGGTCGATCATATGGTGTCACTATGGTGACAGATCGCTATTTATAATTTTTCTTAATATTATATTATTTTAATATTAATTTATTATAATTTATATGTTTCGAATATATTCACAAAGTTTGAATTAAGTTTGATTACAGTTGCTTTTATTATAGTTATTCTGATAAAAATATTTTCAAATTATTTGATATTTAAAGATAAAATCTATAAGTTATAAAAATTATTTTACTATATATTCTA